TAGCCTTCCTTCTGGAGCTGTGATTTTTATCTGTGCAGTGATGCAAACCTAATGACGAATATTCCAGACTCTTGGTGGAAACTGGAGATAAGAGCCCTTCAGAACCTCCCCTCTAGTGAGCTTAAATTGTTTTCTGTGAGTCGTGAGGCCTGAAAAATACAGATTAGTAATACTGCTTTGTGCTTTCTGTGTGTAGTGCTGCCCACAGGCCATGCAGCTCTTCATGTTTTCTTCCTGATTTTGTTTTCCTTAGGACTGACTCAAGTCCCTCAGGTACAAAAGACAGAAATTTCCTTTACTGTCTCCGATCCCAAAAGCTATGACCCATATGTGAAGAATCTGGAGGGGTTCTTAAGCAAGTACAGTGCTGGTGAGCAGACTGACAACATCGTATTTCAGGACTGTGGAGGTAAGTCCTCGTTATTTCCTACATTGAGGGTTCTGACCAGTGCCTCTGTTGAGTCTGTTGGCACATGAGGGTCAGTAGTGGCATTTTCTGTCTTCATCTGTCCCTTTCCTCATACGAGCACCACATGGTAGACTTTAACTGGTGGGCTTTGGTTCCAGTTCTGTCAGCTGCTCATTTAAAGATGAGTTTGGACAGACTGGATCTGGCTGGGAGTGTACCAGAAGCTTATTGCAAAGGGTATGTGGCTGGGGACTTGCAGATTTCTCTTGGAGAAGATTGCAGCTGATTCTCCACAGCATATAGCACTGACCTTACAACTTCCATGAAAGCCATGGGAGGTTTTACTGGTGACTTTGCTGGGGACTGTGTCAGTAGTGTTGATGCAGTTCTGCAAAACATCTGGAAGATTCTAGAGGGCAGTGAGATGATAACCTGTTAACACATGCATGTAAAATCTGAGGGGATCCCTCGGTTACAAAAAGTTACCAGAAAAATCTCTGTGCTCTTGTATTGCCAACGTTTGCTCTCGTGTAGCCCATAAGAACTCTCAGTTACAGAGCCCACAGACGCATGGGGCCATGATCAGTCTGTGTAGGGGGAGGAGCAGCTGGGCACAGGCCTGTGCCGCAGGCCCAGGAGGTGGTGTTGGAGGTGGTATTGCCCGTGTGGGCGAGTGGGAATCCTGAGGGCACAGGGATGCAGAAATAGGGCTGTCCCTGATGAGAAGAGGGTCGCACTGCATGTGATTGTTCTTCCGTTCCTCCCCATGGTAGACACACCTGCGGATTACAAAGAGAGAGGACCATACAATGATGCCCAAGGTCAGAAGAAGGTCTGTAAGTTCAAACGTGAGTGGCTGGAGAACTGCTCGGGGCTACAGGATAACACCTTTGGGTACAAGGAGGGCAAACCATGCATTCTCGTCAAGCTCAACAGAATTATCGGCTTCAAACCTAAGGCAAGTACCTCCTCCCTTTCTAAATGAAGCTACTGATGAGGATAGGAAGCTGGCTGCGGATTTGCTGTGGTTCTGGAAAAGTCTTTCAGCTTGTGCCTGCTTTTCTGTCTCTGTAGAGAGAGATCAGTATTAAGCCCGTTCTGCAAAGGAGAGACTGTGGGTACCACTGTATGGCCGGCTTTAAAAATGGTTTCATTAAAAAGCAACAGAAAATGCATATGGCAGGTTCACAGCAAGTAGCCGTGAGTGTCATAGTGCAGACTCCTGCTCAACTCTGGTGACTTACAGAGCCTGCTAACTGAATTACTCCAGTGAGGTGTTTTCTTTAAATGATAAAAACCCATGTTACCTGTGTGCTGCTACATGACAGTCCCAGACCTATGGTGTCTGCAGTAGGATCAGCCAGTGGTGTTGTGCCTCAGACACCTTCCCCAGGTGCTGCAGAGCTGCCTGCCTTGCTGAAACCACTTAGTTCAGTGCAGTAGTGCTGTATGAGGTATTAGACTATGAACTGTAAACTACATCTGGGAGTTTGGTACAGCTCTCACAGCAAGAAAGACAAGATGAGCTCTGGGTTACTGAGTGCAGACTCAGAAAAACCATGAGTGTCTGCTGTTCTGCCCCGTGCTTGGTGCTGCACTGAGAGACAGGATTGTGGCAGCTGTTGAAGGAAGTTAATCTGGGCAGGAACTGCTTTTACTTTATTTTTTTCCCCTGCCCATTGAGATGCCAATAAATTCTACGAGAACTCAGAGGCAGAGTACAAGTTATTGAATGAGGCAAGGTTCTCAGCACACCGCTCCATTTCCTGGATGGAAAGCCACGCGCTGGTACATCAGGCAGCCTGCATCACCATCAGTAGGCATAGTTGAGAGGAGGGGGAAAGGCTGGCTCACTAATGTGGTTGGAGGCAAACTTGTCTACAAAAGGAAGGCTGTCCTGTGCTGCAGGAGATCAGTTGGATCTTGAATCATCTGATCCCAGGTGGAAACTGTGTGCAGGAATTTCCTGTGCTGTGGCAATTGCAGGGTGCTGTGAAGATGCACAGTGTGATTGAGGAAGAGGAGGGTTTGGTGTGTATTGAAGAGCAGGGTCTGGGTGCAGTGTGACTTAAAGTGTGTGTATCTGAGGCGGTGTTCATTTGTTCCTCTATTCCATGCTTTGGCAGAAGCCCTACAGCTTGCGTATAGGGAATGGTGTTTGCCAGGCTGATCTGAGCTCTGCACACAGAGCTGGCACTGCCAGCTTTTCTGGAGTCCTTCCACATGGGTGATGTCAAAATTCAGCAACATTGTCAGGGTGTGACCACCTCCGTCATTCTTTGCTGTGTGTTTCCAGTCCTGACTGCATTCACCTGGTGGTTGGGTTGGCAAATCTCCCAGCACTGCATCTCCTTCTGCCACTGGGTGACATTTGCACAAGCAAACAGGAGACGCTTTCTTCAGTGACTCCGTGAAATGAAAGTGTCTGTAGGAGTAGATAGCAGCTGTACTTGGGTGCACTGCAGTGCTCACAGTTGTGTCACTCTGCCTGCCTGTCCCAAGAACCGCCAGTGATGGCTGTGGCCTCAGGGGCTGAGCCAAAGGGATTCCTGTTGGCTGTGGTTTGGTGCCACCGAGCTCTGCTGCTGCGCAGGTACCCCAGTCTGTGCGGATGCATCATCCAGTGTGTTAACGTGGCACTCTTGTGGGTTTCTTCCAGGCACCAGAAAATGAGAGCCTCCCTGGAGGTCTTGCAGGAAAATACAACCCCTATCTCATCCCTGTCCACTGTGTTGCTAAGGTAAGTGAGATATAACAATGGAGAAGTGGGGAACTGCAGGCAGAGTCTTTGTCCAATAGTAACTGCCTCCTGCTGCCCTTCAGCAGGTGGTTGGGGTGGCTCTCTCATGGGAGCTCTTTCCTCAGTAGTGGGAGCTTCTCAAGTGCCCTTGGTGATGAACAACAGCAGTGCCCTCACCAAGAGGGTGAGGCCAGAAGTGGCTGTAGGGCTGCAGAGAGTTGTACTGCAGTTCTTAGCAAGGATGGCTGGGAAACTGCTCTGGTGAAGAGATATTTACTTAGGATGCTAAAGCTGCTGAAAAGGAGCAGAGGCTTTTTTGTTTTGTTTAACTGAAGACAGTGGTCACACAAGAAGCTGTGCTGACTTCTGAATGTACAAAGAAATGGTTGTGTGAGGTTTTTAAATAAACAAATTGTAAAAAAAAAATGCTCTTCCTGGCTGTGCGTGCTGGGAGGCACAGCTTGGGAGCTGGTGGGTAGGCAGCACCCTGGTGCCCTTCGGGTTGGAGCGGTCTTGGTGAGGCTGTGGATGCGAGGAGCAGCGGTCACCAGAGAGGGGGCACAGTACTGATAAAATAAACCAGCCAGTGTGAGAGAGCACAGCTACAAAATGGGCGTTTTCATCATTTGCTCTTTTTCTCATCTCAGAGGGAAGAGGACTCGGACAAGGTCGGCGCAGTGGAGTACTACGGCATGGGTGGTTACCCGGGCTTTGCCCTGCAGTACTACCCGTACTATGGCAAGCTCCTGCAGCCGCACTACCTGCAGCCACTGGTGGCAGTGCAGTTCACCAACCTGACCTACGACGTGGAAGTGCGTGTGGAATGCAGGGCCTATGGGCAGAACATCCAGTACAGCGACAAAGACCGCTTCCAGGGACGCTTTGATATTAAATTTGACATAAGAAGCAGCTGATTGTAAGCACAACTCTCTCTCCCCCCCTCTTCCTCCTAGCCATTTAAAAAAGGTTTAAAAAAAAAAAAAGAACAAAAAAGAAAACCTACTAGTCTTGAACAAACTGTCATACGTATGGGACCTACACGTAATCTATATGCTTTACACTAGCTTTCTGCATTTACTAGGTTAGAATGTAAACCAAGTGTAGCAATAGCGACAAATATTTATTCTACTGTAAATGACAAAAGAAAACAGAATTGAGCCTTGGGACATGCCCATTTTTACTGTAAATTATAATTCCATAACTGACTTGTAGTAAGCAGTGTTTCTGGCCCCTAAGTATTGCTGCCTTGTGTATTTTATTTAGTGTACAGTACTATAGGTGCATACTCTGGTCATTTTTCAAGCCATGTATCGTATCTGTTTTCTACTTCTTGTGAGCAAAGACTTCTGCTGTCCAAGGTGTAAATACTCAATGGGACTAGAACTGGCATGATACTTCTCATTATTTTGTTCCTTTGAAAAGAAAGGCCCACCTGTGAGACTCTATTCAACAGCACTCCATAAGGCTTCTGACTTTTCTGTGGTGTTAGGATGTTTTCTTTGGAGGGGTGGCAGGCTAAACTAACTTAAGTGAGATTAAAGAGAATAGATGACTGTGTACTGTGCTCTGTAGCGAATGCTGTCTCTCTCTCCACCTTTTCCCTCATCCTCCAGTGTGTCTGCGAGAGACCTGGGTCAGGCTATTGCTGTCCTCAGTGATAGGCACAACTCTTTGCTTTGTATATTTTCTTTTTTCTTTTTTTTCCTTCTGGAGGCATCGCACACTGTGGTGCTAATGTCTTTATTGAATGTTTTAACCATTTTCATGGTGGATGAATTTTATATTTATGCAGTTGTACAATTTTATTTTTTCTGCAAGGAAGTGTAATGTATGAAATAAACCAAAGTCACATGTTTGAAAATAAATCTTTATTTTAAACTTTATAAAAGCAATGCAGTACCCCATAGAATGGTGTTAAATGTTGTCTAAAGTGCAAAACTCTATGTTCTAACATGTAATACTTGCCAGGAGTACAGTGCTCTTGTTGATCTTGTATTTCAGTCAGGTTGACATATTGGACAAATAAATGAATGAACACTGCTCTGTGCCCGTGCCTTCTGCTTTGAGGGTGGGAGCTCTCAGTTGTCCAGAATCTTGAAGAAGTACTGCACCTGTTTCAGAAATCAAAGGACATCATTCTCATTTCCAGCTGAGCTTGACACGTTGACACATCCATAACATCCACTGTCAGTGTCATAAACTGCTGCTGCCACCTTTGACCAGATGTTACGCGTCTGCTCTAGAACAAAGTGACCTAGGATGAAGTAGTGGCTTCCCTCTCTCTCAGCTAGTTGCTCCCTCAGAGGCTGCAGCAGTACCTGCAACTGTGCTGTTCCACAACCACTCAGTTGAAAGGTTCAGCACTTTTCACTTCACATTCTCTGAGCCTGGGGTGCCAGCTACTGGCTAGTAATAGTGCATCCTTAGCGTGAAGCAGCCACCAGAGATGAGTGCCGTGGGAGCAGGGAGGGCATGAGTCACAGCAGCAGGAGAAGGGAGCTGCAGGGCTGAGAGCTGGGCTGGGTGCTGCACTGAGCACAGGGTGCTCCTGGCAGGGCTGCCCAGAGACTTGATGAGGTTTGGCAGCCAGCGTCCTGCTGGAGCCACTATCATTTCATTCTGTGTGAAGCGGATTGCCAGGCAGAATTTCCTTGTGCTGAACTAACAAAACATTGATATTCCAAAGCAACCTCTTGAAAAAGCCTTCATAATTGGAATGCAATATACTAGAAAAGCGGCCTGCTGAACTTTTTGCCATCAGCTAGGAGGACAAGCACAGCTATTACATGCTACAGCATTTAGCATAAGCATCTGATCATCTCCAATGCAGAGCAGATGCAGTCTGGAACACCACCTTCAGCTGTCTGATGTGCTGGGGCTCAACAAAGACATGGTAATTGAAGCACTAAAATCCTCCCCTGCAGGCGGGCCAAATGCGCAGCCATTTGGCTCCTAGAAGTCAGTGGGCTGACACTGTGATCAATCACAGGGGTGCTTGGATCACGGTTGCCTTAGACACGGCCTCACCCCTACAATTCATGCCCTATGTGCATGGCATTAGAGAAACAAAAAGCTTTCATTTTCAGAGCACCAAAAGATCCAGATAATTTATCTCCTAACTTATCATGTGAGAGCAAAGTCCAAGCATAAACTACTAATAAAAATAAGGTCTTACTTCAGGGTTTGGTCTAACATCATAGAAACCTTACAGCACCTGTCGTCCTTCAGGAAGCACGTGTCACAACGCACTCGTAGCATACGCCCCGATTAATACACTATAAAATAATACAACCCCAAGCTCCTATCCTCAGCTCACACCAACTCAGTGACCTCACGTCACCCATGAATGAGGTGCTCACACACCTGCCAGCCTCCCACCGTAGGGACCAGCAGGTGCCATGACAACCCCGCTATCAGCAGGCTGCTCCTGGCTCCAACCACAGTGGTCTGCAGGCTGTTGGACTTCTTGTTTTTGTTTTTTTTTCAGTTTGTGTTGCCTATGTAAAAGCTGTTCTCTTCAGGTTATCTCTGCCTTACTGCCCAGCAGTAAATCACCCTATAAACCAACCACCCACCTGAACACTTTGTTCCCTCTGCCAGGTTGGCTCAACACCGTTAAGTACAACTATAACCATTAACGTGAACTTTATCACCGTGTTGATACAGGGCACCTGTGTTTCTGGGTTACACAGAGATGCATAAAAATACTAATAAAATAAATGGCAGCATAACACATTTAATGACAAGCATCTTTAAGCCTGTGCCAGCACTACCACTTGCACAAATACACAACAGCCATCGGTGTTAACAGTGCCAAATCTGAGAACTTTTGGAATGGTGCTGCCCACTTGGCCCCAAGCACCTGAGCTACCACGGCTAAAGCCTGGTGCCACAGACACTGGGCTGGGCCCCTAACAGAGATGTTCACAAAGCTGTGGGTAGCACAGGTCCCGTGGCTGTGCGAAGTGGGCAAACTTTTAGGCAAGGAAACTACCAGATCCCACCACTCCTTTGGACAGCCCTGTCCCTCCACACCGTAAGATGCTGAGCAAGTGCCTCCTGCTCGCTATCTGTTGGCACCAGAATTGTTTGCTCTGACCCCTTGGGTCCTTCACTGCCACTGACTTTTGGCAGGCAATCCACCCAAGCCTGGCTGAAAGCGTCAGCTTACTTATGACCTACAGGTGACATGAGAACGAGCACAGCAGTTATGCATTGTATAACATGAAAATGAGGGCCACTGTGTTCTCTTCGTATATAATTATGATGTGGGTCAGCCACCTCCCAGTGCCCATTAAAACCTATTAGCATCTGAGACGGCTGTGGTACACGGAAGGCTCTTCACCCCAAGAGCCTCACCCTTGGGAGAAGCTCCAGGCAGCAGGGTAACAGCTGTCCCGCTCACATGACAAAGCATGTGGCTCTTTGCAGAGATGAGAACCAAGGCCAAAGACTTCAGTACCACCAAGAGACAGGGGATGCCTTCCCAGTCACAGGTCACAGCTCCAAGAGCCCAGCTCTAGAAGCACCACACCATCTCCCAAAGGGATCCAGGGCTGGGAGGTACCCATACTGAGCTCCGGCCAGGGTCGAGCTTTCCACAATGCCCGACATTGCAGGAAATACAGCCACTCTCATTCCCAGAGTCCAAACAGCATAAACCACAGGAAAAGCAGCTGTGCATGTATAAAGCCTCTCAGCACACCTCATGTTTGACCCAAGGCAAGGTCAGCTCCTATGAACCACACACGCCTCCGGTCTCTTCACAAGATGAAGGGGTGGTAGGGGAATTCACCTCTGCACACATCAGGGATGGGTCTGAAACCAACTGACTCCATCTCCTGACCTTCAAACAGTGCTGATATTCAGGCTTGCTCACTCCTTCCCAGGGATGGAAGAGGATTAAATTTAAGATCAGCACTCTCCTTGCAAATTCCATAAACCATCTACCTGCTTTACAGCATGCCGCTGTGCCCGCTCCAGTTCCTGCTCAGGGACTAATAACAATAACGTTCAGGAAGTAATAACAGGGATGAATAACCACGACTTTCTGGCTCTGACCTTACAAACTGCTTCAGCCGGGAGGAGCTGAGAGCTGCTTCAGTTCCCTGAAGATTTGCTTCCGTCACAAACACATCTTGCACAACTCACTCTGATGGGGTCGGCCGCTCCCGCTGGAAGCTTCCAAATGTTACCACAAAGTTTCAGCAGTTAATAAGGAAGGCGATAATGAATTCCAGTCTAATGCCATGGCAGAGCACAAGTAATTATCATTTGAACAACGTGTGCATGGAGCATGGAGAGACAGGCAAAATCAGGAAAAAAAGAAAAAGGGAAAGAAATCAAATGAGGCATCCAAGGGAGAGCAGCAGATCTTGGTAATAACCCAGGACCCAGTGCGGTCACCAAATGTCCTGAAGAATTCCAGCATAAGTGGTACAGACACCTACAATTTACTATTTTTACTCAGTAAACAAAGCAAAAAACAGTGCTGATGACAGGTGTTGGCCCAATGATGACACAGAATGGCAGAATGGTTTGGGTTGGAAGCAACCTCAAAGACTGTGTGGTTCTAACACCCTACTGCAGGCAGGGCTGCCACCCACCAGCTCAGGATGCTCAGAGCCCCATCCAACCTGGCCTTGAACACCTCCAAGGATGGGCATCCACAGCTTCTCTGGGCAGCTGTGGCGGGGACTTACCACCAAGTAAAAAATGTCTTCCTTATGTCTAATAAAATCCCACCCTCTTTTAGTTTAAAAATGTTACTCCTTGTCCTATCAATACAATCCCTGACAAAGAGTGCTTCTCCATCTTTCCTGCAGCCCCCTTTGGGTACTGGAAGGCCACCAAGTCTCCCCACTAAAAAAGGAGAACAGCACAGCTCCCTCAGTCTGTATTCAAAGAAGGGATGCTCCAGCCCCTTGATCATCTTCACATCTCTCCTCTGGGATGGGAGCAGGACCTCACAACTTGGCCTTTGTGAACCTCATTAGGTTCTCACAGGCCCACCTTGCAAACCTGCCTCTGGATGGCATCCCTTCCCTCCAACACATCAACAGCACCACTCCGCTTGCTGTCACTTGCAAACTTGCTGAGGGTGTGCTCGCTACCCTTGCCTGTGCTGCCAACAAAGTTGTTAAACAGCTCTGGTTCCACTATCAACTCCTGAGGCACATCACTCTCCCCCTGGACACTGAGCTGTTCACCACACTCTTCGTGCAGCCAACCAACCAATTTCTTATCTACTTTGTGGCCCATGCATCAGATTCATCTTTCTTCAATTCAGAGACAAAGATGTTGTGCAGCACTGTATCAAATGTACAAGTCCAGGCAGATGACATGAGCTGTTCTTCTGCTTTCCTCACTGTCCCTCCCAGCTCAGGGTATCCTATGATTTGCCATAGAGACAAAGCAAGGCACACATTGAACACGTCTCACAGCATTGTGAGACACGCAGAAATCATTATGTCTTGTCATAGAGAAAAATCCTGGCAATTAAAGAGTACCTTACCAGTCATGGTCCATTCATACTGACCCTTGGGCTGGCAGTTCTGGACAACTAGTATTAGAATGATGAGGAGACACATCAGTAAAAAACACGCTGAGATCACAGATTCAATTCACATCCATCATTCAAAACATGCCAGCAGTTCCAGTCCTTCTTCATCACTGCCAAATCAGAACTGGCAGCCGTGAGATGGAAAGCTTTCATCCCTGTATTAATTTTGAGCCATCAGTCACCTCAGTGCCTTTCAAGCAGCCAGACACTCATCAGTACCTTCTCCATGAAATCCCTGTGAAACTGCACCTTCTCGACTCAGTGCAGGTATCTAGCAACATGATCCAGGGGATGTTTGCTAACCTTAATTTATAGCATCACTAACAAGTACCACTCTCCCAAAACACTGAAGTCTTATAATTTTTATAGGTCATCTCACCTTGAGGTCACTAGTAGGAAACAAAGATCTTTTTGTTCATTAATTTTGTTTTGAACATCAACATGAACTTGGAGCCTTTAGTGCATGCCTGCAGGCACTCAAGGCCAGGTTGGATTAGGCCCCTGAGGTGGCAGGTGGCAGGGCTGCCAGCCCTGCCCACAGCAACAGGG